GACTTGGCTGAGTAGGCTAAGCAGTCTTTGTTGTAGAACAAGGTTACAGTAGAGCTTATATTTTGTTCCAGAGGGGGAAAAAATGTTTTAATATAAGTTAGACTAAACCATTGGGGTTAGTTTCTCCAAGGCATCACATGGAGCACTTCTTCATATGGAGAGAGGAATGACCATGAGCTTCCTCAGGTTATTTGCAAAACTGTGTGTCTAGACATATTTTCCCTCTGGGCGGAGTATCTCAAAGGAATCTGAGACCCACATAATGGTTAAGAGCAGCTGTAATGATTTGGCTTCCTGTGACTTAGACATTTTCATATTTTGACACTAAGAGAAAAAATTCCACATATACGTTTGCTGTCTGGTCCACACTCCTCAAACTCAAGGGTAACTCAAAACATTCTTCCCTAAACAGAGCTTATTCCCTTCATCCATATCTCCCAGGGAGTAGGCCTAGTCAGAAACCCCTAACCTACGGTGCTGGTCTTCCCTGTGTTTTATAAGTCCTCTCTTTGGAAGGTATATTAATACTTGCTCCAGAAGGCAGAGTGCTTCTTTGCCAGGAAAAGGATTTCTGCAAAGCATATTTGTAGGGACACAGCAGGGATGGGCACTCTCAGGCATTCTAGAGACTATTAGGTAGCCAGATTTGTAAATTTAGGACTCCCCCATCCCCCCAGAGACTTTGACCCACTACTGACCAGAATAAAGGACTTACACGGCACTTGGCTCAGAAGCATGACTATTTCCCAGGTCAGAGCCCTGGTAATCATATCACCCTACACGTGGTATTTTATGCTTCCAAGGAAAATGTGAAAAGTTGGTGGGGGCCTCAAGAAGCAGCACATCTTTGACATCATAAAAGGAAAATTACCAACATTATTCTTTTATATTCCCCAGGCCCATGCTCAGCACATGGTAGATACTCAGATACTCAGTAAATACTTTCTGAAATAGAACGAACATCATTAGCTGTGACCTATAAGGAGTGCCTTTCTTAGCAAGTACAACAAAGGTTGTGACAGCGTGTTCAGAGTTAAAGAAACGATGGACTCAATAGGAGATCTGAAAGAGAAGAGACGAAACAGAGGTGGTAAATACTAGCATTTTTTGCACAATCGCTAAAAATGCGTCAGCAAGCACAAAGCCAACTTCAACTGCCAATAAAACAAATGAAATAGATAATGGAAGGGAAACAGCTCTACTAAGCCTAACATGCCTATCAACACTCACATTCACACCTTCCTGCAAGCACCACTTATCCCAC